GAGGCTGTGAGGAGGCTGAAGGCTGAGGGCCACCATTTCCCCAGAACCATCCACATGACCTTTGTGCCAGGTAGGGGTGGCTTGGGGAGGGACACTTTCAGGGAGGAGGAGGATGTGGTGGCAGGGGCAGCTCCTTCATCTCATGTCCCTGCTGCTTTTACAGATGAGGAGGTTGGAGGTCACCAAGGCATGGAGCTGTTTGTGCAGCGGCCCGAGTTCCAGGCCCTGAGGGCTGGCTTCGCCCTGGATGAAGGTGAGCAGGGTGGCAGGCCCCTGAGCGGCGAGTAGGAGATATGGAGGCTGCTAGTGGCTGGGCCACTCTACCCTCTGAGTCCCGTTTCCCTCCCCAGGCCTGGCCAACCCCACCGATGCCTTCACTGTCTTTTACAGTGAGCGGAGCCCCTGGTGTGAGTATGGGCTTGGAGGGGGGGTGTCACTGTGTGGTGGGGTGCTAGGCCAGAAGGGGCAGCCTCCCAAGAGTCATGCAGCAGGTCAGGGCCTGAGTAGGCCTTGAACCCAGAGCCTCTGCCTCCCAGCCCCTTCCTACCCGGGCTTCTCCTTCCTGAGCTTCTGAGGGTAGCCCCCCATGGGCAGAAACCAGCTCTCCACCGTGCGTTCTAAGGGAGACCACCCTGCCAGAGGAGCTTGGGATGAGGCGAAGACTGGGGCCCACCCCCAGGCTGATCACTTTTCCAGCCCCTCCCATGCTGAAGACACCCCCTTCTCCCTCACCTCCCAGGGGTGCGGATCTCGAGCACCGGGAAGCCAGGCCACAGCTCATGCTTCATCGAGGACACAGCAGCGGAGAAGCTGGTGCGTGGCACACAGGGAGGGAGTTTGGGAATTCCCGGGGCTCTATCCTGGGGCCACTCTCACATCCCACCTCGCACTCTCCTAGCACAAGGTCGTGAGCTCAATTCTGGCTTTCCGGGAGAAGGAGAGGCAGAGGTGAGGCAGCCTGGGAAAGAGGATGGGGGTCTGGGCGGCCGGCCCTGCAAGAGAGAAGGGAGGCTCTTTATCTGTTGCTCCGCCTGCTGCCCCTACCCTGTCCCCCCACCGCAGGCTGCAGTCAAACCCCCAGCTGAAGGCAGGGGCTGTGACCTCCGTGAACCTGACCAAGCTAGAGGGAGGCGTGGCCTATAACGTGGTACCTGCTACTCTGAGCGCCAGCTTTGACTTCCGTGTGGCACCGGATGTGGACCTGAAGGTGCCAGCTCCACCTGGGTTTGGAGCAGGGAGCCGGCTTCTCAGTCCTAGGCTGGAGGCTCAGGGAGAGCCTGAGAGGTCAGCTCATCTCCCTTCTCACAGGCTTTCGAGGAGCAGCTGCAGGGCTGGTGCCGGGCAGCTGGTGAGGGGGTCACCTTCGAGTTTGCTCAGGTATCAGCTGGGACCTACGGTTGGGAGCTGTGGGAGCAGGGGAGACTGGGCTTGCCGGGCGTGTGCCGCCGTGGCAGTGGGTGCTCGGTGTACCTGCATACGTCTGGGCGTTTCTTTAGCTATGAGGGACACATTTTATTCACCGACAGGCGTTCGTGGTGGAGGCCACTGTTGGGTGCCGGGGATACCGTAGGAGTAAAGTACGTGGCCTCATAGTCCTTACGGCATGAAGAGACAAATAGACCTGAATTAAACATTAATATATTACTTTTTTTTTTTTAAAGATTTTATTCATTTATTTGAGACAGAGAGAATGAGAGACAGAGAGCATGAGAGGGAGGAGGGTCAGAGGGAGAAGCAGACTCCCCGCCGAGCCGGGAGCCCGATGCGGGACTCGATCCCGGGACTCCAGGATCATGACCTGAGCCGAAGGCAGCCGCTCAACCAACTGAGCCACCCGGGCGCCCCTAATATATTACTTTTATATAAGTATGAACACACTTGGTTCAGGAAAAGGTGGGACCCTGCACTCTGAGAACCTGTAACAAGTAGTTGGCCAGTCTGAGAGGTCTGGGAGAGCCATTTTGAGGAAGAGGCCTAGGATGTGAAAGCTGGACAGGAAGTAAGTAGATGAAGGGCAGGGCGAAGTCCCAGACCTGTGGCCTGTAAGGGACTGAAAGAGGGCCTGTGGCTGGACTGGCCAGCTGGCTATCTGGGTAGGTGGGTGGAAGTTGGGGTGGCGGGTGGGGGGAATGGGTGTGTGTCTATGCCAGGCACTGACAGGCCTGTGAAGAATAGGGCAAGCTGTCCAGGCCCTGTCTTGATCCTGCTATCCTTCCCCTCCTTCCAGAAGTGGACGGAGTCCCGAATGACATCAATTGATGACTCAGACCCCTGGTGGGCGGCATTTAGCGGGGCCTGCAAGGACATGTGAGCACACTGGCCCGCCTTTCTCTTCCCCTTTCCTCTCTCCTCCTACCTCCCGTCCATCCTCCTTCACCCTTTCCATGCTCCCCTTGCGCTCTCCCCTCCCTGCCTCCTCATTCACCAGGCTCTTGCCTCCGCAGGAACCTCACGCTGGAGCCAGAGATCTTCCCTGCTGCCACGGATAGCCGCTACCTCCGTGTGGTGAGGGGCTTGCAGTGCGTGGGCAGGGGGGTGGGCTGTCCTGGATGCTGGCTTTCCTCCTGATGGCTTCTCCTTGCCCCCTGCAGGCGGGGGTCCCCGCGCTGGGCTTCTCCCCCATGAACCGCACACATGTGCTGCTGCACGACCACGATGAGCGGTTGCACGAGGCCGTGTTCCTCCGTGGGGTTGACATATACACGCGGCTGCTGCCTGCCCTGGCCAGCGTGCCTGCCCTGCCCAGTGACGGCTGAGTCCCAGGAGCGTCCACCGGACCAGTGTCAAGGACCCCTCTGCCCCCCGCCCAACAATAAAGTCTGTGTGTGGACAGAGGCCAGTTCTGAAGTACTAAGAGCAGGGATTCTGTTCATGGAGTGGGGATTCTGTCATTTCTCTGGGGACATGCGATTCCCATCTCCATTTCAGATGAGAAAACTGAGCCTGGCTCTGGGTGCCTCCCCGCTGCCCCATCCTGCTCTGTGTCCCTCGACACAGTACACTCATCCAGTACCACCCAGCCATGTCTGTGCCCAGCGCCAAGGGGCCATAGTTCCTCTTCTCAGTGGCCACTAAGCCTTTATCTGACTTATGAGGTCGGGGACACCACTCTGAGGAGGAGACCAAAGCAAAGATCTCAGGGAAACACTTCTGGGGACCACTCAGGATCCCGAGACAGTACCAGAGCCGGAGGCCAGCTGGGCCCTGCCAGATGTGGGGCAGGTAGGAGAGCTTGCAAGCCACGGCTGCTAGCATGTTCATCTTAGGGTCCCTACACCCTGGGCAGGGATCAGTGTGTGCTGAGTGAGGCTTCAGTCTGTCAGCCCTGCTAGGTAGGGGGCTCCAGGCAGGACCAAGAGTCACTATGGCCTGATTGCTGAGCTTGCTCCTCTAGCTGATCTGATCTAGTCCTGTTTGGACCCCCACGGGCATGGGGTGAGAGACAGGGAGGGCTGGGTTTTGAAGTTCTGTTGTGGCCAGAGGGAAGTCCACAGCCTGGTTCTGTGGCCTGCAGGCTTAGTCCTGATAGTACTAACCCCTGCTCGTGCAGTTCTGCCGAGGAGCCAGGACTTTGGCCCGCTCCATCTGCTTTGAGCCCTCCCAGCAGCCCCTGGATGCAGGTTTCACTGAGCCCCTTTAGCAGCTCTGCTAGAACAGCTTGCCCAAAACCACATAGCTTGTAAGTAATGGGAGTCAAGATTTGAGACTCAAGAACTAGGGAACAAGGGAGGCTCTGTGTGGGAGCTGGAGGCTGACAGCAACCTGGTTGTGACCTTAAGTAAGCCTAGCTGAAGCCCCTGACCTGGGGTCTGGCCTCCCCCTTCAGATTGCAGCAGGATGATGGGAAAGGAGCCTTCATGCCCTGTCCTGGACTAGAACACAGGCCTCACTGGAAGCCACCTGACTGGATGACCTCAGGCTGGGCCAAAGTACCTCCAGGACATAAAACCTGTTCCTGGTCCCTTTCAAGACCCCACCTATCGGACACCCCCTGGTAATGGGCAGTTGGCCCCCCCAGAGCATGCCAGGATGACAGTCATGAGCTAGCAGCCCAGCCCTGGTTGGGCAAACTTTCTGGGGTCCTGCATGGGCTGCGTGGGTCCCAATGCTACTTACATCCCAGAGCTCCATGATCTCAAACAATCCTTCCCTGTGAAACAAAAAGAGTAATACCTACTTCAGAGGAAGAGGGACCATTTATCATGGGATGTACCTGTTGCCTCTAAGATTTGAGAGCGAGCGTGTGTGTGCCATGTGCAGGGGGTGGCGAGGGGCAGAGGGAGAGAGAGAAGCAAACTCCCTCCTGAGCAGGGAGACCAACTCAGGGCTTGATCCCACAACCCTGAGATCATGACCAGAGCCTGAAATCAAGAGTCAGAACCAAGAGTCCGGATGCTTAACCAACTGAGCCACCCAGGTGCTCTAGGAAGTGCAACCCTTTTGGAACCTTCCATGTGCCAAGGTTGGTCCACAAATTACACGACAACCATACTCAAAGACTAGTTTCGAGGACTGCATGCCCAGGAATGGTGACATGCTTGGCAGCTCCTACAGAAAGCCTCCACAATGCCTAGGACCACTGTACCACTTGCCTCACCAGCTGCTGTAACTTTGCAGAGGGAGCAGCTGATCCGGGAGGCACAGTCAGGTCCGGCCCAGCTGTATTAACAAGGCAGTGAGTGCCCCCACTGCCCTGCGTCCTGGGGCCCGAGCACAACCCAGAGTGGTGGATGCTGGCTGTGTACCCTGGACCACCTCGGGCCGGAGCACAGAACTCAGCAGGGTCCTTCTCTTTATCCCCAGGGTAAACTTCAAGACTTATCAGGGTATTTGGGAATTCTCCTTCCTTACCAGACCGACCGATCCAGCAGGCTATGTGCCCCAGCCTCCCTGAGGCCCTCCACCATGTCTTTCACTAGGTCCCTTTCTTGTACTCCAAGGCCCCATTTCCCCCGACTCCCACCCATATCCCAGTCTCTGGACCACAGACACAGGCCAACTGACAGAGCCTGCCGCAGGTTTATTTGTACAAAGAGCAAAGGAGGACACCAGCCCCATGCAGACAGAAGCCCAGGGGTCACACCAGTCCTGTCCTCACACTGGCAGACACAAGCCTCTACACTGGAGCCTTTGTGGGGGCCTGGGCACCTTTGGGAGCCTGAGCTGCAGCAGGAACAGGAGCTGGAGCTGGAGCTGGAGCCGGAGCCGCAGCCTGGGCCTTGGTTTGAGCCTTGGCCTTGGCCTTTGGCCGGCAGAGCCTGAGACCCTTGGCAATGCGGGCACGAGCACGTTTCCCGAGCTTGGGGTGAGCGATGTAGGCAAGTCGATTGAGCTTGCGGCTGCCGCCCTTTGGGATCTTGGGCTTGACCTCCTTGGGCTTGACAAGGGCCTTGATAGCCTCGGCACGTGCACTAATGGCCTTGGCGTTGTTGGCCTGCATCTTCTTCAGGCCCTTCTTGTTGTGCTTCTTGGCAAAGCGCATGTTCCTCAAGAACTTGGGGTCTACCTGGAAGGCAAGGAAAGGTACAGGCTGTAAGTGCAGCATGTGGGGCCTCAAGCCACCACTGGTGGCCCTCTCCACAGCTGTACCAGGAGACTACTGGGCTCCAGCCAAGGCCTATTGGGGGCGTAGACAACATCAAGTCAAACTTAAAATGCTGAAATACACACCCCTTACAAACTACCTGCAGAGAAACATGTACAACCCCCAAAGCCACCATTCCACCCTGCTAATGCTACATACAGACCATATTTCCAGGGCTACATGCCCAGAGCCCAACTGAGCTCAAAGGCCAAGCGCAGAAGGAAAGAACAAATGAAGGCTGCCCCATCAGCCAGGCTTGCAGGGCTGAGGTTTTCCTGAAACCCCTCAGGGCCATCCCCACCTCTTTAAAGGAAGGAGTCAGTTAAGCACCAAGCCTGGTCCAACAGATACACAGCAAATGAGGTTGAAAAACAGACCAAGATGGGGAAACCGAGGTTCAGAGATTTAATGGTTCATTCCACAGACCAGAGACCAAGGGCACAGGGGACAGACAGGACCCCGTTCTCTTGCTTAGACCCTCCAGCCCCAGCCTTCTCAGCTGAGAACTCCTTGGCACAGCAAGGAAAGCTGCCCCCAAGCCCTGCATGAGGTCAGTTCAAGGCCACAGGCTGGTGGAATGCAAGGTTCTCACAGGGTACCTGGTACACAAAGGTAAGGCCGTTTCTCTCCTTGAAGTGTTGTGGATAAGCAAGGGGCACAAACTACCCTCCGGAGGCAGGTTACACCTGACTAGGGAGTTACAATCTGGGCTGGGAAAAGCCAAGCAACGGTTTATTATGGCTTTGGCAGAACTTGAAGTCCAGGCAAAAGCTGGCTGGAGAGAAAAACTGTGGGCTTTGGTAGTCCAGGCAAGACGAGGGACAGTTATTAACAGTCGCTGCTCAGGCAGATGCTGAAGCCGGAAAGAGAGACAGGAGGCGCTCTCGCTGTGCGACGGGGGCCAAACGGACACCTTTCTCACTCACCCCCTTAAGAGATTCGTATCTTTGTGACCGGGGTTTCTTGATGCCATTTCTGTGCCATTTTCGTGCTGTGGGGAAGCAAAGGTATTAGACCAAGCAAGACTTGCTCTAATAAGACCACACAACGTCACAGCGGGCCAGCCTGGGAAAACCATTACTTCCCAGGGCAGGTCTTCTCGAGAGCTGGAATAGCCCCCATCCCTGAATGCAAAGCACTGTGGGCAGCTCAAGAGGACCCCTGGCTTCTTAAACTACAACCCAGAGGTCATCCTGGCCGAGAACAAAGCCAGCCCCAGGCCCAGAGTGTCCCCAGTCCTTGCCAGGGTCCGAAGTGAGACGGAGGCGGGGCCGGGGGAACTTACACTGGTTGTGCGTGGTGTGGTTCTTGGACTTGGCCATGTCTGCACCTGGGGAAGGAGAGCGGAGATGAGGGCTGGGGGCCCGCCAGGCTGGCTGGGACTCTCACCGCCGCCCCGATCTGGAAGGACGTGAGGCCAGAAGCCAGAATGAAGCTGCAGCGCAGGGGCCCCGCACCTGCGGCCTGCCCCGGCCTCCACTTACTCAGCACGACCCGACGCCGGTCCCGGCCTCCCGAACTCGGGTAAGAGGGCCCTGAAACCAACCCTCCCTCACCAGACTGCGCTCCACCCCAAATCCGCGTTCTCCCTCCCCCATCCACTCCTTGAGAACCCCTCCCTGTCCTTCCCGGTTTTGCGTCCGGCCGCCGGCTAGGAGCCGCGGATGGTTCCCGATACCGCGCAGCCGATTCTCACCGAAGACCGCGGCTCCCGAGGCACCTCGGGCCGGAAGAGAAAGAGAAAGAGGAAAGCCGCGGTGCAGCACGGGAAAGAGGGTCGTCGAGGCCGGAAGGTACTTCTGGAAAAGCTTCCCCCAGCGCCGGGAAGAAAGGTTCCGAAGCCCGGGAGGGTATAAGCCAGACGCGAGGGCGGTACTATGAGTCTGGCCCTGCTTTCTGCAGGTTTTACGTAGCTTATTCCTCCTGGACCAAGCTCTTGGGACCCAGTTCTCGTGAAAGGTCCCGAAGACGAAGGGAGTCTTTGAGGGATGCATGCTAGGCAGGGAGTGACAGACTCGTGTTCTTGAAAAGTACCCTTGGGGGCACCTGGGGGGCTCAGTCGTTAAGCGTCTGCCTTGGGCTCAGGGCATGATCCTGGGTCCTGGGATTGAGCCCCGCATCGGGCTCCCTGCTCAGCAGGGAGCCTGCTTCTCCGTCTACCCCTCCCCCCTGCTCGTGATCTCTCTCTCAAATAAATAAAATCTTCAAAACAAAACAAAACAAGCATTCATGCTTGGCAGGAAAGAAAAAAGCCCATGGGTTTGGAGAGAAGTGAATGATAGGGAGGGAGTTGCCAGGGCTAGGGGAGGCAGAGTTTATTTCCAAAGGAAGGGAAGGCCTTTGAAGACTTTCAATGACAAGATCTGCCTTGTGTCTTTAACAATGCCCTCAGCCCCCACTGCTGTGTGGAGACTGAACGGGGGGGGGGGGGGGGGGGGGGAGTTGTCGGGAGGCAAGGTCTAACTCATTTTGGATGTCCAATAGGCCTATCACATTTAATGCATCTAAGCAGAAACATCTGGATCACTGGCCTCCTCAAAACAAAGCAATAAAAGCCCTGTCCCTCCCAACCTTCCCCATTTCTGTGAACAGTACCAGCATTCACCCAGATGTTCAAGCCCAAAACTCAGGGGCTACTCTGGCCTCCATCCTCTCCCTGATCAGCTGCATCCCAAGTCCAGTACCTATCCACTCTTTTCCACACTCACTGCCCCGATTCGGTTCCAGGTTCCCCCAGCCTGCTCACAGCTCCCCCGCCTCACCTCTGCCCCCTACAGTCCATTCTCCGCACAGTAGCCAGGGGTACTTTTCTTTTTTCTTTTCTTTTCTTTCTTTCTTTCTTTTTCTTGTTTGTTTGTTTTGTAAGATTTTTGTTTATTTATTTGACAGAGAGAGACACAGTGAGAGAAGGAGCACAAGCAGGGGGAAGTGGGAGAGGGAAAAACAGGCTTTCTGGGGAGCAGGGAGCCCGACGCCGGGCTCAATCCAAGGGAGCCTGATACAATGTGATGGGGGGCTCCATTCCAGGACCCTGGGATCATGACCTGAGCCGGAGGCAGACGATTAACTGACTGAGCCACCCAGGCGCCCATGAATGCTTGTTCTGACTTCAGGGCCTTTGCACTTGCTATCCCCTCCCTCTGGACTACCTTCTCCCTGCTCTTTGGATGGCATGCTTTCTTGGAGAGGCCTCCCTAGGATGCCCTATCTAAAATAGATACACTCCACTCCATCTCCCCAGGTGTTTTCTGTCCTATCATTCTCTTTGCTTCCTTCACAGAACTTTCCAGACTCTAATTCTATTCTTTATTTACTTGTGTATGTGTCCATTGACACAAGAGTCATGAGTTCAGGACGGTTTGGTCACTTTTCCTTTCCCATTGCTTGACATAGCACTTGATGCAGAACAGGAACTTAGTAGACACCGGCTGCGGGGACATTTCTTTGGCAAGGTGGATTCATGGAGTGACAGGAGCATATTGCAGAGAGTTGGGGAGTGAAGGGGGGAAAGAAGGATGTGGAGGCCAGACATGGCAGTGACGCCTTACCAAAGCATTCCTGAGAAGGGGGAGAGAAATCTGGCAAGTGTGAGTCAGGAGAAGGAAGAGCACGCTTAGACGCTGGCAGGGGGACCTAGGGCCAAGAAGCAGTTGAGGCCAGAGGGAAGGGGTCCAGAGGAGCAGTCCCGAGGGCTGCTGAGAACAGGAGGGGGTGCCAGTGGGCAGAGGGGGGGGCTGTGGGAAGTAGGGGTGGCACAGTCTCTGTTGGGGAGTCAGGGCCTCAGCTCAGGGAATGGGAGAGCTGGGCCCGGAGGGTGGGACAGGGAGAAGAAAGTTTCACTGCTGCACCCTTGAGAAAGAGGAGCAGGCAGGGTAGGGGCCAGCAGAGGGGGCTGGAATGACTTTAAAGGAAGCAGGTTGCTCCACCGCGTGGCCTTCCAGCTGAGCAGTAGCTGCCACAGTGAGCGCCTAAAAAGTGAGCAGTGACACCTGCTTGGGACTCAGTCTTGCCGGGCTCTTACGACAGTGGCAGAGCAAGCAGTGAGCAGAGAGCCATAGTCCAACGACGGAGGCAGATTCAGAGACAGGTGATGGTCGCACATTGACGTTGGAGCTGCTAGAGGGATTGGCCCAGGGTGGAATCCTGGCTGCCAGGCAAAGGGGGAGCAGTGACAAGAGCCAGGAGCTTTGACGGTGATCTGAGGGGACTTGTTCAGGGGCCAAAGGGGAACATGACCTTGGAGACACTGGCCTGCCATGCTTTTCAAGATAGGAAAGATGGTAGGGCCTGCCCTATGTATAGGGAGAATTTCCTCTCTCTCTTTCCTTCCTTCCTTCCTTCCTTCCTTCCTTCCTTCCTTCCTTCCTTCCTTCCTTCCTTCCTTCCATAAAAGCTCTTTTGGGGCACCTGGGTGGCTCAGTCGGTTAAGCGTCTGCCTTCGGCTCAGGTCATGATCTTGGGATCCTGGGATCGAGCCCCGCATCGGGCTCCCTGCTCAGCGGGGGGTCTGCTTCTCCCTCTGCCCACCACCTCCACCCCTGCCCCATTTGTGCTCTTTCTCCCTTGAGCTCTCTCTCTCAAATAAATAAATAAAATCTTTAAAAAAAAAAAAGCTCTGTTTTAACCTGATTCTATTCATTCAGTCATAATTCGTGGACATCCTTCCTTGTTCATGAAAATCCTTGGTAATCCTATTTTATTTTACACATTTAAAAACATTATTCTGGGAGCGCCTAGCTGGCTCAGTTGGAAGAGCATGAGACTCTTGATCTTGGGGTCGTGAGTTCGAGCCCCACGTTCGGTGTAGAGATTACTTTAAATAAACAAACAAACAAGCTCCCCCCCGCCACATACATTTTTCTGAAAGAGGTCAGTAGAAACATCACCAGATGTCAAAGTAGTCTCTGACACAAAAAAGGTGAAAAATTTAACCCTTCCTCCCGGGTTCACACACTTCTACCCTCTGTGAGAGAGCAGCTCTTGCCCCATCTCAGGTCCATGTGGAGGCCTAGGTCCGCTTGCCAACCTCTGTGGCCTCGCCGTGGGCAGAGCCACTCGCTGGGCTCAGCAGAGTGTCTATCCACCAGGCCCCTTGCCAGTGTCTTGGGCACAAGATGGAGAGGTGAGGCTTGGAGACCAATGAGCCTTCCACCGGGCAGTATGTGACCCACCCATCCAGGCCTTGTCCAGAGCAACAGCCCAACCGCAGCCCAAGTAGGATCCAGTGGGGCCCACTCAGCAAAGTACCAGGGTCGGAGACATCCGGGGTTGTTTCTGCTGCGCCTAGCACAGCCCCAGGTACATGCAGGGACCTGATAAATATTTGAGGAATTAAATGTACACATTTCACAAATCCAGGCAGATGGCAGAATCAGGAGGCAGGAAGCCAGTCAGCCTGGAGGGATTTCACAGAGATAAGAGTCTGCTCTTCTACCAGGTCGGGTCTCTGCTCTCTAAGCCTCAGTCTGAGCGTAACCTGGGGACAAACACAATAATTGCCTCACGGGGGGCGCCTGGGTGGCTCAGTTGTTAAGTGTCTGCCTTCAGCTCAGGTCATGGCCCCAGGGTCCTGGGATTGAGTTCCGCATTGGGCTCTCTGCTCAGCAAGAAGCCTGCTTCTCCCTCTCCCACTCCCCCTGCTTGTGTTCCCTCTCTGGCTGTCTTTCTCTCTGTCAAATAAATAAAACCTTTAACAAAAAAAAATAATTGCCTCACGGGGTGAAACTGGATACTTGGAGCAAAGCACTGGACACTGGGCTCAGTACACATTAGGTGCTCAATCATTATCAGTCCCATCCATGCTTTTTCCCTACAAGGCCTCTGGAGAGGGGGACAAGGCTGAGGGAAAGTGTCAGTGGCAAGTGAGTGCTAGAAATGAGGACAGGATCCAAGGGAGGGCCAGGTTGGGGGGAAGTGACAGTCCTCAGGGGTCCTGGGTCCCCCCAGTCCTGCAGTTCCAGAGAGACAGGGACTCCCAGTGTGCCCAAATAAGAGGGACTGTGAGTGGATTATCAGAACTGGGATGCTTTCTTTGTAGAAGACTGGGGGACAGAGAAGAGGAGCCCCTAACCACTGGATTAGAAATGCCCAAGTTGTGACTGAGGGAGGCAAATACCAGCTCCATGGATGAGGATCATTTATGCAATCAAAATTTCCCCCAAACCACGAAGCAGTGAGTTTCCAGAAACAGTGAGTTCCCTGAGACAAGAGGTGTGTCAGCAGTGGTTTAATTACTGGGGATGGAGGATGAAGTATGGGATAGAAGGATGGGGAATATAACTCTTAAGTTCGCCTAACTCTGGGAGTCTGGGATTCAAAGCTCCTGGAGAAGGAAAGGTGGTGGGCAGGGTTTGACGCCAGGCTGGGGCTCAGGACCTGGCAGGAAGAGAGCACAGTTGAGGTAGAGGCTTAGAGGCGCGGACCATCCCTCAGGTCACTGGGTATGCCTTCAACAGCCTCAGGCCCTGATTTTCCCTGTGGCGGGGCCTCTGGCCGGGGAGGGATGTGGTGTGGGCAGCCGGGGATGCGAGCCTGTGGTCCACACGGGGGCAGCACAGGCCCGTGGATGGAATGATGCGGCTGCTGGCAGGCCGGAGTGCCCCTCTCCTGGGAACCCTCTGAGCCTCCCCAGTCTCTCTCTCTCTCCCTTTTCACACACACACACATACACCTGCTTCTCCACCCGCTCCCCCACCCCACCTATGGATCAAGCCTCGGTCTGCCCATTCTTGGCAGGTGCTCCGGGGTAGGTTGGGTCCCCCGGCTCCAAGCTCCTGGTGGTGATGGGGGTGGGGGTGGGGGGTTTTCCCCAAAGAGAGCTCAGGGCAGAGAAAGCGAAG